TCCAATTTTATTGGGGTATAATTAATAAAAATTGTATATATTTAATATATAAGGAGGTAAATTTTGATTAATGTTTTCTGAGGTCTGCTGCCACTGAATTCTCTCACTGCTCTGAGTCCTTACTCTTCTTCCTTCCATAAAACTTTGGCCCAATCTCACCTGCATTTTTTAGCCTTAAAGTAATTTTTAGCCTGCTGGTTAATAACTGTCTTCTAGTTCCAACAAAAATGGAATTCACTGGGTTTTTTTTTTAACTTTGTCTTTAACTTTTAGATAATTTCCAGAAGGAAAGGAGCATAATCCTGATTTACCTTAGTTAGGTTTGCACAGGAAGTTTACAAACACTGCTTTCAAGTGATAAAAGATGATTTAAATCACCCAAAAGATGATTAAGTCACCCAGTTTCCCTTCATCATGTAATTTTCACAATGAGAAAAAAACCCAGTTAGCACTATTTTTATTTCAAACAAACTTATTTTACTTTCATCAGTAAAATTATTCCCTAAGCAGCAAAGCAAACTTTCTCCCACGTATTGTAATAATTTACAATACCTTCTTAGAGGCATAAAACAATACAAATTGACTGTCTTACATTTCTATAGTTGAGAAGTCTGTCTGACCCTGCTTGGAATCTCACAGGGTGCCAATAAGGCTGTGCTCCTTGCTGGACACTCTAGGGAAGAATATGCTTCCCAGTGCAGTCAGGTTGCTGGCTAAGTTTGGTTTCTTGCGTTTGCAGCACTGAGGTCCCTATTTCCCTGCTGGCTGTCAGCAAGGGGCTGGTCTTTGTTCCTAGAGGCTGTGCATATTCTTTTCATGCTTTTTATCAGCCCCCTCCAGCAATGGCAGGTTGAATACCTCTGGCAATAAAATGTCTCTGATTTGTCTTTCTGCCACATCTCTCTATTTCCATCTGAAAAAATTTCTTTACTTTGAAAGTCTCACGTAATTAAACTGGGTCCAGCAGGACAACCCAGGATAATCTTCCTATTTTAGTGTCTGTAACATTAATCACATCTGAAAAATGTAACATTTTCATAGGTCTGGTGTTAGGGCTTGAGAATTTAAAAGAGGTCATTATTCTTCCTAGACATCCTACAACTACATCCAGCATTTGAGACATAGCAAAATAAATTTTACCAAAGATATACCACTCCATTGATTAGCTAATATAATCTCCTAGTTCCACCCTTTGGCAGACTGAAAATCCCACAGCAATCCAGAACAAGTTGATGAAACTGAAATGTGAAGAGCCAAGTTGATTAGTGGCTAATCCACACAGATGTCAAATTTGGCAAAGATTAGAATCTCAGCATAAGAATCTGAATTTTTAAATATTCCTCAAGTTGTCAAAAAATGAAGCTAATGGAAATATGAAGAACCAATTAAAGAAAAGAGCATATATCAATGTGGCTAATATATGAAAATACTAAATATGAAAGTTAGAATCTTAGCATAGGAGCCTGATTTTTCTTATCACAGAATCAATAGTCTTCCAAAATGTCAAAGTCAGGCTGGGCACAGTGGCTCACACCTGTAATCCCTGCACTTTGGGAGGCTGAGGTGGGTGGATCACTTGAGTCCAAGAGTTCAAGACCAGGCTGCCAAGGTGGTGAAACTCCATCTCTACTAAAAATACAAAAATTAGCCAGGCATGGTGGTACTTGCCTGTAATCCTAGCTACTCAGTAGGCTGAGGCAGGAGAACTTGAACTCTAGGAGGTGGAGGCTGCAGTGAGTCGAGATCATGCCACTGCACTCCAGCCTGGACAACAGAGCAAGATTGTCTCAAAAAAACAAAAAGCCAAAGTCACAAAAGAAAAGAAAAGACCAAGGAACTATCACAGACTGGAAGGGGCTGGTATTTGTTCCTAGAGGCCGTGTACATTCTTCTCATGCTTTTTATCAGAGAAATAAAAACTAAATGCAGTGTGAAATCCTGGATTAATTCTGAAAGAGAAAAGAAACGTTAGCGAGGAAATGTATGAAATTCTAATGGAGTCTGTTAATAATATTGTACAAATATTAATTTCCTGTTCTCAATAATTATTGTTTGGGAATGTAAGATGTTAAATAGAGGAAACAGGATAACGGGTTGCTCATGCATTTATTCTAAAGTCTAAAATTAGTTCAAACTCGATAATTAAAATGAAAATCAGGCATACAGCCGGGCACAATGGCTCACGCCTGTAATCCCAGCACTCTGGGAGGCCAGAGTAGGCGGATCACAAGGTCAAGAGATCGAGATCCTGGTGGCCAACATGGTGAAACCCCATCTCTACTAAAAATACAAAAATTAGCTGGGCTCGGTGGCTTGCTCCTATAGTCCCAGCTACTTGGGAGGCTGAGGCAGGAGAGCTGCTTGAACCTGGGAGGCAGAGGTTGCAGTGAGCTGAGATCATGCCCCTGCACTCCAGCCTGGGCAACAGAGCGAGACTTGATCTCCAAAAAAAAAAAATCAGGCATACAAAAGATTGCTTCTTCTTCTCCTCCTGAATGTCACACAAAGGTAACAGGGTAAATGGGAAAAGGCTCGTTATTTTCAGTGAAAAACATTAGATATAATCTGCATAAAAATTTTACCAAAAGCAGCTAAAATCATGACAAAGTGACAAAGTTGCACAGGAAGATTACAACAGAAGGAGTAAAAAGAGAAGTAAATGACAAGCCAGCATAGCGCTTCTGGTAGGTTAGGGGCTCACACTGAGATGATAAAACTATCACCTTTCCACATAAGAGATTCCAGATCTGGAGAGAACAAGCTAGAGACTGAATAAACAGAAGCCAAGTGGTGAGGAAAGTGTAGCAAAGATACTCAGAATTTCAGTGGTGAGAGCTCATAAAATCTCAGCCCAGCTCTGAAGAGACCTCCCTTCAACAGCAAGGTCAAGAAAATCTAACTCATGACATTTTGAGGGATCTGACACTGCTTATACAAAATTTCAGTATGAGAAACAGTAAGAAAGAGCAGAAAAACTTACTAAATGAGGAACATACGCCATAAGTAGATAAAAACTTGGATTAAACATAAATAATACAAAGAATGATCACTAGATATTTGTCCAAAACTTTAAGTATTTCAACATTTTTCCCAAAAAAGCAGTTATAAATTGAAATTTTTTAACTAAGAGCAAACCGCTAATCCAAGTGAGTTTTTTGGGCTTTTATTCATCTCATATTTATAAAATTAATCATTACAATGAAAAAAGACAATGAATTTATAATTAACAATTTACTATGGTTTCATATTCTGAGAACATTAGTCTTCTTTCACATCTTCACATAGTAAGTGAATTTTACAATCCTGAATAATGACTAAAGATCTCTACAAAGATTTTCTGAGGTTAAAAAAAAATGTATTGTTTTTGTAACGTATTTATTGTTACTCTTCTTAGGTATGACAGTCATTTGGAAATTTGAGCATTGTCAGTATAGCTACTCTCCAAGGTAAACGACACAATATATGTCTTCACAGTTGACATTGAAGCGATTTTCAATTGTCAAAAGACGCATCAAAGAAAGGCTATCTGCACACTTTTCTAATTTACTGTGGCACACCTCCTAAGATCATCTGAGGCCTATTATTTAAAGTCACTAGAAACTATTTCTTTCCTAACCTATTGCATTTAATCATAAAGGCAAAGATCTATGAGAAAAGTCTCTACAGAAAGGTTTTATGGGACAAACTTAACTTATTTCTAAAGCAAACACTTCAGCAGGGTCTACACATGATGTGGAATCATGTAAATTATTTGTAGACAAAAATATTTCTTTTACTTTTGCTTCACTAAATTATAAATTATATAATATAAAAAGATATATTTGGGGCTCGACACTTTGGAAACTGTATAAGCCAGAACAGTTTCAGGATCAAGTGAGAGAAAAATGTGAGAAGATCATAAAAGATACATCTCCTGTTAAATCCAGGAATTTTTAACACCATCATCAGGACTCTATTCTCTTGCCTCCTTGACTTTGGTTCTGCTTGCCACTGCTTTGGCTCAGATCAAACAGGATTTGAAATGGCTGCAGGTATCCCTAAGACCATATGGATTACAGATGTCACAAATCTGAGGCCTCTGAATTTGCCCGCTGTGAGTTACATGCTCATCCCCATAGCAATCACTGAGGTCAGCGGGATGCAGCACTCTGATAGGTCAGGCCTGGAGCGTGTGCTATGGAGGATTAGGAAACATAAATATGCAGCTAGGCCACACCAATTATTATGAAATTGGGGAAGAGAGGGCTCCCATCTCTTAAAAGGAATCGGGAAAGAGATGCTGAAGAAGTTTATCTATACATTTTCTTTCTCACTTACCTCTGATGTTAAGATGTCTAACCTAGTAGAAGGAACTTTAGAAGTTCTGAAAAGCATGTCTTTGAAGCCTTCCATAATCACATTTTAGAACCCTAAGTTATTTTAGAGAACATTGTCTGGCTTAAATCCTGAAAACTGAGTCTTCCAGTGACACTTTAGATTTTTGAGTGATATCCACTTACTCCCTTTAATTGGCTCTGGAAATGCCTTCCTTCTGTAGGCAGAAACAAACAATGCAAGTCGACACCCTTAAACTGAGTGTCAGGGACAGGGACATAACCAAGCATGGAAGATCAGAAGGTTACAATGAGACCTGATGCCTGTCATTTCCCTCAGTCACACCCTTTTCTTAGAGAATATTCCCAGTCCAGTGCAGCCCTTCAGGCTAGGCAGGCTTAACCTTTGCTTCAGGACCAAAGACAACTACTGCTGGGTCATGGTCCTCAGGAGCCTGAGTCCTGCTCAATTTCTGGTTGCTTGCTGCTGCTCCTCCAGCTCCGTCTTAGCCAGTTACAAATTTCCAAGCACATTCAAATACTTGTAAACCTCCTTTGAGGCAGGGTATACTTCTCATTCTATACAGATTAAAAATTAATGCTAAGAGGTTAATTGCCTAGCACAGCACAGGTAAGCAGGGAGCCAGTTCGTCTGCCTAAGTCTCATGTTTTCCTCCCTATATCCAGCTTCCAGGTTCTCTCTGCATCTGGCTCATCTTATGCCTGGCCTTGGGTACTGCTATCAGTCTTACCTTGTCTCTTCTGATCTGCGTTCTCATCTCAGCTTCCTGCCCAACCCTCCTACATTGCATAAATTTCTTCCCAATATGTTTGCTCTACAACAAATGGTATTATTTTTGAGGTAAGAGTTTTTTTTTGTTTGGGTGATTGTTCTAAAAAGGAAGTAAAGGCATGTCAAAGTAGACAAGTGGAGTCATGAAAGAGACAGCTGTCTCACCAGAACTATTAGCATTGCTCTTTATCTTCAGGAAGAGAAAGAAAAGATTTAAAAATGGAGGTCCAGAAACAATGGTTACTGGTCAGGGGAGACACTACAATAACAAAAAGAGAGAGAAACTCAGTGTCAGATCTTTAAATAAAAGAAGTGATATAAAGGACATTTGCTTTGGCACATCTAGAAAAATATGAGAAAATAATATATTGTAATTTATTTGCAACATATTGAAGCTGCTTGTGTAGACGGCTTATTAATTAGGCTGGGATTTCAGCCAAGTCCCATTGATTTATACAATCAAAATTCTTTGTTTAGCTTATGATGGATGATAAATAAATGCTGATAATTAATCTCTTATAAGTTTTCCCTTTTTTATAATTTCCAGAAGGCTACTGTTTGCCTCAAGTGAGTTGATGCTCTTCATAGCCTAATTGTCATATTTAATTTATGTTAAGTTAGAGATACCTTCTCTCTAATAGATGATTAAACACACACACACACACACACACACACACACACACACAGCATTCTAATGAAATTCCTCACCTGAGGATTTACCAACCACCAAAAATGACTTAAATCTGGGCTTTTACTTCCGATATCTCAAGGTCAGAGTCTTAAGACTGTGTGTGTGTGTGTGTGTGTGTGTGTGTGTGTGTGTGTGTGTGTGTGTGTGTGTGTTGGTGTGTATGTAAAACCATGTATGTTTGGATCTAATAACCCAAAGTTATTAGATCCAAACGATGGAGTTTGAGATGGTTTCTAGAACTAATGGCTCAAAAATAGTTAAGTTCAAACATTCATCAGATTTGAAATAAGCTGTAATGCTCTTCTAATATAGTAAAAAGATTCTAGCAAAACACTACATTAGAAGGTAATAATTATAACTCTCCAAGTGTATGTTGTTATATAGTTAAAGTATAATGCATGGTGTGGAATGAGTTACTAAACTAGAAAATAGAGCTTCTGACACTAATTTTGCTGAAGTTACTAATGCTGTGACCTTCGGCAATGACGTCATCTCTCCCAGCCTCATTTTCACAACTCTGAGTGGGAAGAATACAACCTGTTCAGAGGACTGTGGTGATGAAAAACTGTGACAAGGGAGGTAGCATAAGTGGCAGAGTGACTAGCACATGGTTCCTTCTTCTTTCCCAATTCTATTTAAGACCTAAACAGGATCAGTGAAACTTACCAAAATGTTGGAACATAAGTAGAGTCTAGAAAAAAACTAATAATATGAACACATATATTTGAAAGATAAATAATAGCATTAAATTGTTTCAGTTTTGAAAAGTAATTTAAAATAAATTATTCCTTCTTCCTCAGGCATACCCATGTCTTCAGTATTTTTGCAGCTGCTTTCTGTTATGCATATTTGTTTTAATGTAAATATTCCTTTCTACCTGATTAAATATTTCTTTGAGCATTCTTTCTAATAAAAATGTCACTTATTATAAAATCATCACTGGCAATCTATCTTTTTTCACATTTTCTTCATCTTTACTAAGCCATTCAAACATGGTTGGCATTTCTTATTCAAAATACATCAGTAACATTGGAGGCCAGAGAACACTTACCTTTTTTTGTCAAATTGAAGCCAGCTATTGTACTATTTGGAATGTTAATGGAGAGCTTGTCAGATATTCAGATAATAATGGAACAGGTTTATCAAAATCATTATGCTCAGAAAAACAAAACTTCAAGATTTCTAAAGTAAATGAAAAACTAAAAATTTTTTCAGATTATCTTAAGTCTTCAATTTCTAATGAAAAGAAAAAATTTAATATGTGGCCACTACAGAACAAAATTTACAAAATCCAGGTACAACATACTTGTTAATGTGAAAAGGTAAAACAGTGAAAGTTATGTCAGCTTCTTGTTCCATAGTTAAGACAAATCCATGTTTTAAATATTATCTCCCTCCCCAACAAGGTACATTATTATTCATGTTAAATGTCATCCAAAGTAAAGAATTTGCCTAAAATATATTTTCTCTTTTTCTAAATATGCTGAATTAGTGATTCATATCTTCCCCATTTGGGGAAGAAAATGTCATATTTTTGTTGAAAATAACTTCCAATAGGCTACATGGGGATATAGAAGATAAATTTTTAAAAGGCTATAGTAAAAAAAGATTAAAAGGCCTTCAGCCACTCTTCTAAGGAGTTAGATGGACAAGAATATAGGTTGGATTGGTCATGGTTAATTACATTAAAAATTAAGCAAAGTTGGCTGGGCATGGTGGCTCACGCCTGTAACCCCAGCACTTTGGGAGGCTGAGGTAGGTGGATTACCTAAGGTCAGGAGTTTGAGACCAGCCTGGCCAGCATGGTGAAACCCTGTCTCTACTAAAAATACACCAAAAATTAGCCGGGTGTGGTGGTGCGCACCTGTAGTCCCAGCTACTCGGGAGGCTGAGGCAGGAGAATCACTTGAACCCAGGAGGCAGAGATTGCAGTGAGCTGAGATGCCGCCATTGCACTTCAGCCTGGGCAACAAAGCAAAACTCCATCCGAAAAAAAAAAAAAAAAAAAGAATTAAGCAAAGTCACCCAAAAAGAATAATTCCCAAGTCAGTGAAACATAAGTATAACCCAATTAAAGGTAGTAACATAGCTGAAGAAATTATGTATTAAGCAAAAAGAAAGACTGATCAGCTAAAAAACCATAGGAGCCTCTTTTGAAAACATTGGCAGTACCTACAGAGATGATGTCAAGAAAAAACAGTAAATTTAGCCATCAGGCTTTCTGGTAATAAATTAGTTTCTATCTAGGCCTGCATGGAGACAAAGCAGATCTGGCTATGCCGATAAGTGGATTACAGTTCTTATCACACAAATCATGGTAAAGTAATAGATTGGCACTATGATTTTATGCATTAGTTTTAAGAATTTGGTAGATTTTTGTTTGTTTGTTTTTCTGAGATGGAGTCTCACTCTGTCGCCAGGCTGGAGTGCAGTGGCTTGATCTCAGCTCACTGCAACCTCCATCTCCCGGTTTCAAAGGATTCTCCTGCCTCAGCCTCCTGAGTAGCTGGGACTACAGGCACATGCCACCACGCCCAGGTAATTTTTGTATTTTTAGTAGAGATGGGGTTTCACCATGTTGGCAAGGATGGTCTCGATCTTTTGACCCAGTGATCTGCCCGCCTCAGCCTCCCAAAGTGCTGGGATTACAGGTGTGAGCCACTGAGTCTGGCCAGGTTTTTTTTAAACTATCTTGAACCCACCTGTGGAACTGACTGAATTAGGATTTTGTTTATTTATTTATTTATTTATTTATTTTTGAGACGGAGTTTCACTCTCGTTACCTAGGCTGGAGTGCAATGGCGCGACCTTGGCTCACCGCAACCTCTGCCTCCTGGGTTCAGGCAATTCTCCTGCCTCAGCCTCCTGAGTAGCTGGGATTACAGGCACGAGCCACCATGCCCAGCTAATGTTTTGTATTTTTAGTAGAGACAGGGTTTCACCATGTTGACCAGGATGGTCTCGATCTCTTGACCTAGTGATCCACCCGCCTTGGCCTCCCAAAGTGCTGGGATTACAGGCTTGAGCCACCGTGCCCGGCTGAATTAGGATTTTAAAGCTCTCTAGCTGAGGACCAGCCCCTCAGCACAGGAAATCCTCCAAAACGACTTCACCCCAGGAAGTCTCTTCTCTCAGGGGACAGCACTGCATGCCTTCACCCTGTGGTCCTGTACCTTTGCATGTGCTCTATTAGGGTGATGCTTGCACAGATGAGGGATCTTGACAAGATAGATTATTAAATGGATGGATCAGCAGTTTTAAGATCAAAATTTATTTCTGATCTCTTTCCAATATAGCATAGTTAGATTAGATTGGATTGTACACCTTCCCAGAACATCTTGACACAATAACCATTATATAATTTCTCATTTTTCCTAAGGTATCTTTATGTGCTTTGTTTTTATAATGTGCCAAGGACCTCATGGAACTTAAGGGTTATTAAGATAGTCTATTAAGAGTTACTGAGATAGTTATTGAGATAGACTATTGAGATAATCTAGCAGCTTCTGCAGGGATAAAATGGAGTCACTTAGGGAAAGACATGTCACCTTTTTCTGAGCAGATAAGATTTAAGTTGAACACCATCCAGTTCCAAAACCCTTTCATTAGTGTATGGCTTTTAAAGATACTCTTGCTACAGTAAAGACTAAATCATTTTGGTGGGTACAATTTCAGAATCATTTATTCCAATTCAATTTAGCATAAGAAGCCTCTATAGAACAATTGGCTTTTCAAACCCAAATTACATAGTGAGCTGATACACAATTAAATGAAATTCCATCACTGACAGCAGTAGCTAGGCAGAGGAGGATGAAAAAGGGAGAGAAAGATGCCCAAATTGACTGAGAAAAAAGAAGGCACAGGAAAGGAAGTGAGTATCGGCAGATTAACTTCACATCCTTCTGAGAGCCTTTACTCTAGGAAGTTGATTTTCAAATTTGCTTAAAGATAAGAACTGACTAGAACACTTGTTAAAAAACTCTCAGGCCTCTGCCCAGACCTACCAAATCATAGTATATTGGAGAAGAAACTTGGTAACCTGGCAATCTGTGCATATAACAAGTGCCTCATGTGATCCTCATCAGGTAAGTTTAAGCTAGCACTGTTTTAAAAGTGTGGAGCTGTGAGCTATAAAGATGTTTCTATGGGCTTGTTGGGACATTCTGAGCCCTGGGATTAGTGGGCTTCATTCTTATAAGACAGTCCAGTTGTTGGGGTCACAAAAGGAGCTCTGATTCAGATGAGCAGAGGCCTCACAGTTTGTGGCAAGGGCTTAAGTAGATGCAGTAATAAAAGTCCAGTGGCTCAAGTTTGTAACTCCAGCATTTGGGAAGCCAAGGCTGGAAGATCCCTTTGACCAGGAGTTTGAGGCCAGCCTGCAAAACAGAGCAAGACCCTGTCTTCACAAAAAAAAAAAAAAAAAAAAAAAAAAAAAAAATTAATTAATTAACTGGATCCAGTGGTGCATTAGTGCATGCCTGTAGTCCTAGCTGCTTAGGAAGCTGAGGCAGGAAAATCACTTGAGCCCAGGAGATTGAGGCTGCAGTGAGCAGTAATCACACAACTGTACTCCAGCCTGGATGGCAGAGCAACACCCTGTCTCTGAAACAAAAATTTCAAGACAAGGCAGTTAAAGCCCTTTGCAATTAATTTAAATATACATAACAAAGCATCCTAATACCTACAATATGAAGATATGAATGCAAATCCCAACTCTTTCATCACATTTTTATCATTTATACAAAAGAAGTCATGATATCCAGATTATAGATGGTTATTACCAGAGCTGATATAAGTAAACATGTTTGAAAGTGCCACGTAAATATAAGTAATTATGACTACTATGTAAAGTATATGAAAGAGTAAGTGCTTGCATCAGGACAGTCAAACAAGATGTGTCCCTACAAGTGGGTGGAGAAACATGACAATGGGAATGTAGAATAGAAAAAAATTGTGAGATGTGTGTAAGTGGCAGCAGGTAGGTAACAGGCCCTTCTGCTGGTCTGGAATTCACCTGAGACTATCATCTTCAGGCACAGAAAGACGAAAATGAGATTTGAGTTAGTTGAGATAACACTGGGTAGTTGAGAGGTTACCAAGATAAGATTCAGACATTAGAAACAATCTTGGTACCCACTGCCTGGCAACAGGGTATGTGGTAGTAGCTTTGTGCAACATAAGAGTCAGAATAGGAAAAGCAACCGTGAGCTATTCCTAACAGTTCAGTTCCCCTTGGTCAGATGTAAGAAAGTTGAGCCTACAAATAAAAATAAAATCCCAGCTGTAGAACATAGGGAGATGCAGGAAGCTAAAGAGTGTTTTTCAGGGGGCAGGTAAACCAAAGTAACAAGACAATACTTATTCAGTCATGAAATAGTGATCAAGAGAGACATCTGCTGGCCGGGAGCAGTGGCTCACAACTGTAATTCCAGCACTTTGGGAGGCCAAAGTGGGAGGGTCTCTTGAGCCCAGGAGTTCAAGACCAGCCTGGGCAACATAGCAAGCACACTCTCTAACAAAAAAAAAAATTTTTTTTAATTAGCCAGATGTGGTAGCTCATGCCTGTAGTCCCAGCTATTCAGAAGGCTAAGACAAGAGGACCACTTGGGCCCAGGAGTTTGAGGCTGCAATGAGCCATGATCACACCACTATATTCCAGCCTAGGTAATACAGAGAGACTCTATCTCCAAAAAAAGAAAGAGAGACATATGCTGCCAGCAAAAAGATCCTAGGCTTAAACGCACGTGGCTGTAGGTGTCAGGTAGATGAGGAAATGTATAAGGGCACAGAGTTTCAGACAATGGGAAATGCAAGTATTGTTTAGTATTTAGAATGCAATCACTGAAATGCATTCTAATTCAGATTTTTACATACTAACAAGCAAAACATAATAACAAGCAAAACCTGTCTTCGGGCTAAATTAAATTCCAGGAGACC